AAAAGGGCTATTACGATCAAGGTCTCGTAAGCAAATTTCAAAAAAAGCAAAGAGGAAAGGGATTCTGGTCTGAAAAAAATATAAAAAACAGCAGAATACAAAAAAATCAGAATATTATTTAAAGGCGTAATTAAATAACTGTCTACTGGGCATCAGTTATGCTGCAGTTTTTCAATTAATGGCCTACCACTTCGTTTATCTTTTATTTTTGCCAGAGTACTGTGAGGTCTCACACCCATCGCGCGCGACGCAATCATGCGCAATACCAATGATATCTGGCCAATTGTCAGTTGGCCCGTTTCAACTGCTGCGTTGATATCAGCTGAGGTTGCATTAGTGGTTTGCCCTGCAATGCATTATTTCCTCTTCGAGACATGGCGTTGAATCCACACACAGATAAACAATCACAAACAAATCGGGCGCGATGCAATCTCGCGGGAAATCAATGTCATCTGGGGAATTGTCTCCTAGCACGTGTCGCGTGGTGAGTTGAGTTCTGCAGCAGTTTTTTAATCAATGCCTTGCCGAGTTACTCCATTTACCCATTATTTTTGATAGATCGCTATGAGGCCTTACACACCAATCGTTTTAATTGTAGCTTAATCCAATAGTAAATTGCGTATTGCTTTTTAAAATTAGCAAACATGTTTAATGTAATTAATTATGGAGGTACTAGATTTGGAGAAACGAATCTTAATACAGTCTTTTAAAAACCTCTAATGTATTTACCGATGTGCTGATTTGATTTAATTGATCCGTTAAATTTTTTTAATATTTATTTTCATTGCTTTTTGTGTCTACAGCTGCAATTCAAGTGTACTACATGCTTTATTATTATTATTTGAAAGCCATGAATCATAGTTGCATAGAAATGTCGAAAACAATATTTTATCAGTTGTTCCTTATGAGATCCATGGCTGCGCTACACAGACACATAAGGCAGACCAGAAATCGAAAATGCCAGTTCTTTTATGCGATTTTCAAATAACAATCTTCAATAATTACACCCAGATATAATTGCAGATTACAAGAGAATTTAAAACAAGCAGGACTTTTGACGTATTTATTTGATAAATCAACATGACACATTAGACAATATTAAGACTAGTAGTATGTCAATGTGCAATTCTGTAGCAATTGGGCATTGTGTATTTCAATTATATATGTCTAAAATGTATACACTTGCGTAACATCCACATCTAAAAAAATTGAAATAAATTCGAAAAAAAATACAGACTTTTTGCAGTAGACAAAATTTCGAGCGTATATATTTTTTAAGAAAATTATGCTTCCTCTTTAAGCAATCACTATTTAAGAATCACAGCGGATAAAACCGCAACTCAAAATAATTTGACTTACCTCTGGCACATTTGCGGGTTGTCTAAAAAGATATTAAAACCAGATTCAGTTGGAATTTCTGTCTTGTAAATTTCTGTAATTCAGTCACGGAGCTGAAAAGGAATGGTTGATGAAATATTGTTTCCGAAATTCCTAGACAAATATGATACATGGATTCCAAATGAAAATAATACTAAAGAATGTGGTATACTTGAACTGCGGATGCAAACAACCCAAATAAACAAAGAAAAAAATTATAGACAAACAAACACCCAAAATAAAAAAGGAAGAACAAAACAACAACACAGGAAACTTCATTACAACACTCAACAAAAATATAAAAAAATCCAATCACTACTAGAGAAAACACGATACACTCACAATCTAAATGGAAACAACCCACACTTACCTCAAAACCCTAAAAACACAAAATAATAAACCACAACAAACAAAAACACTGTAACCAACAAAACAGACGGAAAACCAGAAACAACAACATAAGTAAATAAACCACCACAACAAGAATGAAATATACAGCAACTTTATAAAAAAGAAGTAACTAAAGCCAAACCACCAAACGCCAAAAAAACACCATATATTCTAAAATAATAAAAATAAACCAAACAAAATCAAGCCCAAACAAAATAATAAAAATAGATCAAAAAACAAAAAAATCGCCACACAAAAAGCAACAACAAAAGTAGACACAGAAAAAAACGATTTATGACTCCAAATGTACTCAAAATGTTTACACAAAATCCAAACAAACACAGAACATAACAAAAAAGTAAAGAAACAATCAACATAAACCGAATTAACACAAAATTAACAAACAAAGAACAAAACAACAACACAGGAAACTTCATTACAACATTCAAAAAAATATAAAAAATCCAATCACTACTAGAGAAAACACGATACACTCACAATCTAAATGGAAACAACCCACACTTAAATCAAAACCCTAAAAACACAAAATAAAACTCAACAAACAAAAACACTGTTACCTACAAAACAGACGGGAAACCAGAAAAAACAACATAAGTAAATAAACCACCACAACAAGAATGAAATATACAGCAACTTTATAAAAAAGAAGTAACTAAAGCCAAACCACCAAACGACAAAAAAACACCTCATATTCTTAAATAATAACAATAAACCAAAAAAACAAGCCCAAACTAAATAATAAAAATAGATCAAACAACACAAATATTACCACAAAGTCAAACAACAGCTAAAGTAGACACATAAGAAAACGATTTATGAATAAAAATGTACTCAAAATGATCAATCACAATCAAAACAAAAACCCAGAACAAAACCAAATAGAAAAGAAATAATAAACATAAACCAAATTAACACAATAATTACAAAACAAAGAACAAAAAAAACAAAAATCGCAGAAAACTCAGTTATGCATGAAACCAATGTCACTTGGGCGCTAGACACGTCGTGTGATTTGTAAATAATTTTTTTTCCATTTGTTTAAATGCAAAAATGCCATTTTCCCAAGTTTGATATATCGCGTCA